TCAAAAGTCTTCCAACATTGTTTTGACTTTAATATATTACATCATGAGCATACTTTAAATATATTACTCCCTCCTATTCATTATAAATGTCGTTTTGACTTTTTTGATTCATCCATTTTGTTATGTATCTAGACATATTAATGTCTAGATACATTAACAAAATGGATGAATCAAAAAAGTCAAAACGACATTTATAATGAATAGGAGGTAGTAATATTTAAGGAACTTTAAACAACATAGTTTTTAAAAATTGTTTTAGGGAATTTTAAACAACATATTTACGTCTCTCATAAAACAGATTATATTTCAACAGTATAGTTATAGTATTATTTAAGGAACTTGAAACAACATTGTTAAATATTTACGTCCACTCATAAAGTTTTTGTAAGTCGAAGGTAATTAATCCCGTGCCTTTTTTTGTTGAATTTTTTTTACAAAACTGATGTCATCGATAAAACAATTAAATATTAAATAAATTAATTGAAAAATATTAAATAATATGCTTAGATAGATATAGAATGCGGATAATCCTCTCATGCCAAACAACGCGATTTCAAAATTGACTCAGATCCAGCAATCATATCCAATATTTCATTAAAATAAATATTAAATAAAATGCTTTAAACAGAAATTAGATAAGAAATTTGAATCTGCCTTTTTTTGGATCGATAGACTTTACGTAAAATTTTTGACTTCACCGATTTTATGAGATTTGTTTTGACTAAATCAATGTTATTATGGAATAAGACAAATAAATAAAGCCTTTTTTTATTTTAGTAAAGATTTTACGTACTTTTTTTTACTTATCGGATGTTATGGGATTTTTTTTCTTGAACCAATTTTATGGGATATAAGACAAATAAATAGAATTCTGGATAGAAATAGCAATGCATTAATTACGTTGACTTTTCAACCTACTAAATTTGGTAAATAGGATACCTTATTATATATCAAATATAAACTATGTGACTAATAAATGCATTAATTACATTTATATTTTAATTTGAATTTCAAATGATTGTGCCTTAATTTTTCAAAAGATTTTAAAAGAGTTACTAATAAGAGAAAATAAAATTTTTTTGCGAGATTTCAGTTGATTTTTCAGGTAAATACTAAACTTTATA